CCCCCCCCCCCACTCCGCCAAACACCAGAATCTCACGTTTCCCATAAAGCCACAGTGAGTCACCAGGATGTACATTGCTTGTAGACGACCTCATGCAGACTCGTCTTGGCGCTTGAAGGCCTTTTATCTCGCCGGCTTTGTTTTCTGAGCCGTCATCCTCTCGCCTGCTGACGTGAGCCCTGATCCGAGAGCGAAGGGGCCCACACCTCGCATTCTGAACCAGGGCCAAATCTGATGTGGAATTTTTTTTTCCACCCAGTCTCCCTTCTTTGTTCTATTTGCCCCTGGCAGAGGGCATTAGGAAGCATAACACAAGCTATTATGAAAATGAGTTCCAGCTAGAGTCCCATAAGATCTACGCTAAAAATAAACAATAAGGACATTCGCTCGTATGCCGAGTCACTGAGTGTTGGCTGGCGGAATGTGGTGAAGATCCATGCTGTCATTCTGTAGTGGTCATTCCCTGCTTCTGCTATCTACATCTGTGATGTACGTTTCCTGTTTTGGGGGGGATTTTGAGGAAGGAAGGGACAGATAAGGGTACAGGGCGTGGGTTAGTCAGGGCTTTGTTGGGGAGGGAGGGGGGAGGGGTAAGTATTAGCACTGATACTGAGAGGAGAAGGGGAAACAGTGTCGGGTATTTCAGCAGCAGTGACCAACATGGAGAGAATAAAAATGTACACATCAGTAATGTGTGTATTGTTCATTTCTGTAGGAATGGGAAGTATGGGACAGGGTAATTCCCATCCTATGGCTCATTTATGGTGCTTTTCCACTGGCATACAGGAACCGAGCCATACAGAGCCGTACCGCCAAGAGAGACTAGTTACCGCACGGTTCCAGCTGACTTCGGTTTTCCACTGCAGAAAGGTCGGCTCGGTAAAGGCGCTGCCGGGTTTGGAGAGCGACAGTGATGTCAAACTTAAGAGACTCTTACTGTTCACACTGAGTATATCATGTTCTACTATGACCGGTTATTATTGTTTTTACTCTGTGCTGATTTCCGGCAGCACGTCTGTGAGAATCGCCGAATAAAACGCTAGCGGAATTAGCATTCGTTTGCGTAAATATGCATTACAAATCCATTCCATTCAGCTTTTCTATAGTACTTTTTTAAAGTAGGAGGTTGGAAATTTTCATATTCCAAATTCTGGGAATGCACTGGCACATTGCCATGCGCAATACTACTAATAATGAATGATCTGAAGGATTTATGCATTTTGTTATAGATAATCCATGCACAGAACACAGGTTCGGGTTCGGGTCTCGGCTAGCTTATTGACCGGTCAGATGGTGGTGACGCAGCCAGCCTGGTTTGGTTATGCTTGCATACCTTGTAATGGAAAAGCACCAGTTTGCGGTACTGGTTGGGTACGACTCGGCTCTCAGTGGCAGTAGAAAAGGGCCATTTCTGTGTGTCTGTGGCGACTGAATGTGTTATGTAACACATTTTGAGTAATGAATACCGATAGTTTTGTCATTCTGGGTTAGAGTTAAGTTTGAACCGAAAGCTTGAAATATGTCATCTTAGGAGGTGCGTGTTTGTCTGCTGTAGAAGTGTGTGTGTGGGAGGCTGTTTGCTCTGTTTCTGGGAGTTTCCGCTTTCTGTGCTGCTCTTACTGGTAACATCTCTTGTAGGTTCTGTTACTGAGTCCTGATTGTTGTTGTTGTCGTTGTTGTTGCTTTGATGTAGGTTCTAGACCCAGAGCAGAACCACAGCTTCACTGATCACTACCTTAACGTGCCCTTTGACCTCTCCCAAGTTCTCTTCATCGCCACGGCAAACACCACGGCGACCATCCCTCCTGCCCTCCTGGATAGGATGGAAGTGCTTCAGGTACCAGGTCAGGACACTCAGAGCGCTGGGCCAGTGATTCTCAGCTCATTTTCATGTTAATTAAGCAGCAGTTTATTGTCTTCCATTTGTTTCACTTGATGTGCACGGTTTTCCTCATAGTATTTCTTAGATCATGCATTCACACACATTTGTGTATGTAATAGGTGTAACCTATGAAGATGGGCTCTCAACCAGCCAATAACAGTGTGTCCCCTGGACTGGAGTTGTGAACCACTGTTTTATTATTGGGTGATTAAGAGGTCAACCCTAAAACCCGCACCAACACCGGCCCTCCGTGGAACAGGTTAAAGCCAGTCCACTGGTCAGATTGAACCTCGTCTCAACAGTGCGGGTCTGGGTTGGTTCCCTCGGCTGTAGTTCTCTAGTCCTCATGTGTCTCTCATGCCTGCAGTCAGGCTACTGTCTGCGCAGCCTGAATGAGCATCGTGTGTTGAACCTTAGGTGTATGTGACAGTACTGTACTGTGTGCTGTAGGGTACACTCAAGAAGAGAAAGTGGAGATCGCTCATCGCCATCTGATCCCCCATCAGCTGGAGCAGCATGGACTCACTCCCCAGCAGGTCCAGATACCGCAGGACACTACGCTGGACATCATCAGCAGGTACGCACGCTCTGTCACACACACATGCGCACTGACATATACGGCGTGTTACCATGGGTGTTGATGTTAAGCAGGTTACAATGAGGCTAATATTCAAAGGATATCATTACCTTTAAGCAGACAGTTTTATTGAGGAGGTATGTTTGTGTGATGAAATCCTAGTGACATTTCAGGTTTTTTTTTCAGGTTTGTTGTATGTAACTCTTTTTGTGTTCTGTACTCTTCTGAGACGTTTACAACAACGTTGACAAACCAGTATATACACACACCCCATCTAATCTTTATTACTAATGATGCTTGTGGTAGATGTTTTTCTTTGGAAAGCGCTGATGTGGCAAAGCTTTGAAAGCTAAAGTTGAACAACAGTCTCTTACACCTTCTGACAGTATG